CCCCCCCAGAGGAGGCCTGCCGGGCCGAGGAGGAAGAGGCCGGCGCTGGGGAGGGGGCCGGCGCTAGGCCGCCTGGTGGGGCGCGGGCCGAGAGCTGGCGCGGCGTCGGCCTCAATGCGCCGGCTCCGGACGCGGGTTCGAATCCCGCCTCTGCCCGCTGGGTGTCCCCCTCGGGATGCCGGGCTGCACGACGGAGGGACGGAGGGAGGGAGGGAACCACTGAGCCAAGGGGGGCGCCGAGTCCGTCGTCCATAGAAAATAATTTTATTGACTCTCATCATCAAGTGGCTTTCTGATGAGGCTTTACAAATAGCAGAGGAAAGAAGGAAAGCGAAAGGCAAAGGCGAAAAGGAAAGATTTACCCAACTGAACGCAGATTTCCAGAGAACAGCAAGGAGAGATAAGGAGGCCTTCCTGAATGAACAGTGCAAAGTAATAGAAGAAAACAATAGAATGGGAAGGACTAGAGATCTCTTCAAGAAAGTTGGAGAAATCAAGGGAGCGTTCCATGCAAAGCTGGCCATGATAAAGGACAAAAACGGTAGGGACCTAACAGAAGCAGAAGAGATTAGGAAAAGATGGCAAGAATACACAGAAGAACTATACAAGAAAGACCTCGATGTCCTTGACAACCACGACGGTATAATCACTGACCTCGAGCCAGACATCCTGGAATGTGAAGTTAAATGGGCCTTAGAAAGCATTGCTAACAACAAAGCTAGTGGAGGTGATGGTATTCCAGCTGAGCTATTCAAAGTCTTAGAAGATGATGCTGTTAAAGTGCTGCACTCCATTTGCCAGCAAATTTGGAAAACGCAACAGTGGCCACAGGATTGGAAAAGGTCAGTATACATTCCAATCCCAAAGAAGGGCAATGCCAAGGAATGTTCAAACTATCGCACAATTGCACTCATATCACACGCTAGCAAGGTCATGCTCAAGATCCTACAAGCTAGGCTTCAACAGTACGTGGATAGAGAACTACCAGAAGTACAAGCTGGGTTTCGAAGAGGTAGAGGAACTAGAGATCAAATTGCCAACATTCGCTGGATTATGGAGAAAGCAAGAGAGTACCAGAAAAATATCTACTTCTGCTTCATTGACTATGCTAAAGCTTTTGACTGTGTGGATCACAACAAACTATGGCAGGTCCTTAAAGAGATGGGAGTACCAGACCACCTCACATGTCTCTTGAGAAACCTGTATAAGGGCCAAGAAGCGACAGTTAGAACCGGATATGGAACAACTGATTGGTTCAGCATAGGAAAAGGAGTACGACAAGGATGTATATTGTCGCCTTGCTTATTTAATATATATGCAGAGTACATCATGCGAAATGCTGGCCTGGATGAATCACAAGCGGGAATTAAGATTGCTGGGGAAAAGATCAACAACCTCAGATATGCAGATGATACCACTCTAATGGCTGAAAGTGAAAAGGATCTAAAGAGCCTCTTGCTCAGAGTAAAAGAGGAGAGCGCAAAAGTGGGCTTGAAGCTCAACATCAAAAAAACTAAGATCATGGCATCCGGCCCCATCACTCCTTGGCAAATAGAAGGGGAAGCTGTGGAAGTAGTGACAGACTTCACGTTCCTGGGATCCCAGATCACCGCAGACTGTGACTGCAGCCATGAAATTAAAAGACGCCTGCTCCTTGGGAGGAAAGCGATGGCGAACCTAAACAGCATGATAAAAAGTAGAGACATCACCCTGCCAACAAAAGTCCGCATGGTCAAAGCAATGGTATTCCCAGTAGTCATGTATGGCTGTGAGAGTTGGACTATAAGGAAGGCCGAGCGCCGAAGAATAGATTCTTTTGAACTATGGTGCTGGAGGAGACTCTTGAGAGTCCCTTGGACTGCAAGAAGAACAAATCAGTCAATCCTCAAAGAAATCAACCCTGACTGTTCCCTGGAAGGCCAGATAATGAAACTGAAGCTCAAATACTTTGGCCACCAAATGAGAAGGGAGCACTCACTGGAAAAGACCCTGATGCTGGGAAAGATTGAAGGTCAAAGAAGACGGGGACGGCAAAGGATGAGATGGTTAGACAGTGTCAGCGATGCAACGAACATGAAATTGAGCCAACTTCGGAGGACGGCGGAAGACAGGAGAGCCTGGCGGGAGATTGTCCATGGGGTCGCGAAGAGTCGGACTCGACTGTGCGACTGAACAACAACAAAGCACCCAAGGCAGCTTCCCAAGTTTTGGCAATAATTCAACACAAAAAGAATCTGCAGTGAAAACTAAACAAATAAATATAGACAAGAAAATGGAGACTGGTAGGATTGCCAGTTCCTGGGTTGGGAAATTGCTGGAGATTTGGGGGAAGACCCTGGGGAGGGTGGGTTTCACAGAGGGGAGGGACCTCGGCAGGGTATAATGGAGTTCACCCTCTGAAGCTGCCATTTCCTCCAGGTTAACTGATCTCTGTCCTCTGGAGATCAGTTGTAATTCTGGGAGATCACCAGGCCCCAGCTGGAGGTTGCTAACCC